ATTATAGTCCTCTGGTATATTACAAGTCAATATTAGTACCTACTACAACATTTTCACCATTATAGTCCTCTGGTATATTACAAGTCAATATTAGTACCTACTACAACATTTTCACCATTATAGTCCCCTCGTATATTACAAGTCAATATTAGTACCTACTACAACATTTTCACCATTATAGTCCCCTCGTATATTACAAGTCAATATTAATACCTACTACAACATTTTCACCATTATAGTCCTCTCGTATATTACAAGTCAATATTAGTACCTACTACAACATTTTCACCATTATAGTCCTCTCGTATATTACAAGTCAATATTAGTACCTACTACAACATTTTCACCATTATAGTCCTCTCGTATATTACAAGTCAATATTAGTACCTACTACAACATTTTCACCATTATAGTCCTCTCGTATATTACAAGTCAATATTAGTACCTACTACAACATTTTCACCATTATAGTCCTCTCGTATATTACAAGTCAATATTAGTACCTACTACAACATTTTCACCATTATAGTCCCCTCGTATATTACAAGTCAATATTAGTACCTACTACAACATTTTCACCATTATAGTCCTCTCGTATATTACAAGTCAATATTAGTACCTACTACAACATTTTCACCATCCCCTCGTATATTACAAGTCAATATTAGTACCTACTACAACATTTTCACCATTATAGTCCCCTCGTATATTACAAGTCAATATTAGTACCTACTACAACATTTTCACCATTATAGTCCTCTCGTATATTACAAGTCAATATTAGTACCTACTACAACATTTTCACCATTATAGTCCCCTCGTATATTACAAGTCAATATTAGTACCTACTACAACATTTTCACCATTATAGTCCCCTCGTATATTACAAGTCAATATTAGTACCTACTACAACATTTTCACCATTATAGTCCCCTCGTATATTACAAGTCAATATTAGTACCTACTACAACATTTTCACCATTATAGTCCCCTCGTATATTACAAGTCAATATTAGTACCTACTACAACATTTTCACCATTATAGTCCCCTCGTATATTACAAGTCAATATTAGTACCTACTACAACATTTTCACCATTATAGTCCTCTCGTATATTACAAGTCAATATTAGTACCTACTACAACATTTTCACCATTATAGTCCTCTCGTATATTACAAGTCAATATTAGTACCTACTACAACATTTTCACCATTATAGTCCTCTCGTATATTACAAGTCAATATTAGTACCTACTACAACATTTTCACCATCCCCTCGTATATTACAAGTCAATATTAGTACCTACTACAACATTTTCACCATTATAGTCCTCTCGTATATTACAAGTCAATATTAGTACCTACTACAACATTTTCACCATTATAGTCCTCTGGTATATTACAAGTCAATATTAGTACCTACTACAACATTTTCACCATTATAGTCCTCTCGTATATTACAAGTCAATATTAATACCTACTACAACATTTTCACCATTATAGTCCTCTCGTATATTACAAGTCAATATTAGTACCTACTACAACATTTTCACCATTATAGTCCTCTCGTATATTACAAGTCAATATTAGTACCTACTACAACATTTTCACCATCCCCTCGTATATTACAAGTCAATATTAGTACCTACTACAACATTTTCACCATTATAGTCCCCTCGTATATTACAAGTCAATATTAGTACCTACTACAACATTTTCACCATTATAGTCCTCTCGTATATTACAAGTCAATATTAATACCTACTACAACATTTTCACCATTATAGTCCCCTCGTATATTACAAGTCAATATTAGTACCTACTACAACATTTTCACCATTATAGTCCTCTCGTATATTACAAGTCAATATTAGTACCTACTACAACATTTTCACCATTATAGTCCCATTATAGTCCTCTCGTATATTACAAGTCAATATTAATACCTACTACAACATTTTCACCATTATAGTCCCCTCGTATATTACAAGTCAATATTAATACCTACTACAACATTTTCACCATTATAGTCCTCTCGTATATTACAAGTCAATATTAGTACCTACTACAACATTTTCACCATTATAGTCCTCTCGTATATTACAAGTCAATATTAGTACCTACTACAACATTTTCACCATTATAGTCCTCTCGTATATTACAAGTCAATATTAGTACCTACTACAACATTTTCACCATTATAGTCCTCTCGTATATTACAAGTCAATATTAGTACCTACTACAACATTTTCACCATTATAGTCCCCTCGTATATTACAAGTCAATATTAGTACCTACTACAACATTTTCACCATTATAGTCCCCTCGTATATTACAAGTCAATATTAGTACCTACTACAACATTTTCACCATTATAGTCCCCTCGTATATTACAAGTCAATATTAGTACCTACTACAACATTTTCACCATTATAGTCCCCTCGTATATTACAAGTCAATATTAGTACCTACTACAACATTTTCACCATTATAGTCCTCTTGTATATTACAAGTCAATATTAGTACCTACTACAACATTTTCACCATTATAGTCCTCTCGTATATTACAAGTCAATATTAGTACCTACTACAACATTTTCACCATCCCCTCGTATATTACAAGTCAATATTAGTACCTACTACAACATTTTCACCATTATAGTCCCCTCGTATATTACAAGTCAATATTAGTACCTACTACAACATTTTCACCATTATAGTCCTCTCGTATATTACAAGTCAATATTAATACCTACTACAACATTTTCACCATTATAGTCCCCTCGTATATTACAAGTCAATATTAGTACCTACTACAACATTTTCACCATTATAGTCCTCTCGTATATTACAAGTCAATATTAGTACCTACTACAACATTTTCACCATTATAGTCCTCTCGTATATTACAAGTCAATATTAGTACCTACTACAACATTTTCACCATTATAGTCCTCTCGTATATTACAAGTCAATATTAATACCTACTACAACATTTTCACCATTATAGTCCCCTCGTATATTACAAGTCAATATTAGTACCTACTACAACATTTTCACCATTATAGTCCTCTCGTATATTACAAGTCAATATTAGTACCTACTACAACATTTTCACCATTATAGTCCCCTCGTATATTACAAGTCAATATTAGTACCTACTACAACATTTTCACCATTATAGTCCTCTCGTATATTACAAGTCAATATTAGTACCTACTACAACATTTTCACCATTATAGTCCTCTGGTATATTACAAGTCAATATTAGTACCTACTACAACATTTTCACCATTATAGTCCTCTGGTATATTACAAGTCAATATTAGTACCTACTACAACATTTTCACCATTATAGTCCTCTGGTATATTACAAGTCAATATTAGTACCTACTACAACATTGTCACCATTATAGTCCTCTGGTATATTACAAGTCAATATTAGTACCTACTACAACATTTTCACCATTATAGTCCTCTGGTATATTACAAGTCAATATTAGTACCTACTACAACATTGTCACCATTATAGTCCTCTGGTATATTACAAGTCAATATTAGTACCTACTACAACATTTTCACCATTATAGTCCTCTGGTATATTACAAGTCAGTACCTACTACAACATTTTCACCATTATAGTCCTCTGGTATATTACAAGTCAATATTAGTACCTACTACAACATTTTCACCATTATAGTCCTCTCGTATATTACAAGTCAATATTAGTACCTACTACAACATTTTCACCATTATAGTCCTCTCGTATATTACAAGTCAATATTAGTACCTACTACAACATTTTCACCATCCCCTCGTATATTACAAGTCAATATTAGTACCTACTACAACATTTTCACCATTATAGTCACCTCGTATATTACAAGTCAATATTAATACCTACTACAACATTTTCACCATTATAGTCCCCTCGTATATTACAAGTCAATATTAGTACCTACTACAACATTTTCACCATTATAGTCCTCTCGTATATTACAAGTCAATATTAGTACCTACTACAACATTTTCACCATTATAGTCCTCTCGTATATTACAAGTCAATATTAGTACCTACTACAACATTTTCACCATTATAGTCCTCTCGTATATTACAAGTCAATATTAGTACCTACTACAACATTTTCACCATTATAGTCCTCTGGTATATTACAAGTCAATATTAGTACCTACTACAACATTTTCACCATTATAGTCCTCTGGTATATTACAAGTCAATATTAGTACCTACTACAACATTTTCACCATTATAGTCCTCTGGTATATTACAAGTCAATATTAGTACCTACTACAATATTTTCACCATTATAGTCCTCTGGTATATTACAAGTCAATATTAGTACCTACTACAACATTTTCACCATTATAGTCCTCTGGTATATTACAAGTCAATATTAGTACCTACTACAACATTTTCACCATTATAGTCCTCTGGTATATTACAAGTCAATATTAGTACCTACTACAACATTGTCACCATTATAGTCCTCTGGTATATTACAAGTCAATATTAGTACCTACTACAACAATGTCACCATTATAGTCCTCTCGTATATTACAAGTCAATATTAGTACCTACTACAACATTTTCACCATTATAGTCCTCTGGTATATTACAAGTCAGTACCTACTACAACATTTTCACCATTATAGTCCTCTCGTATATTACAAGTCAATATTAGTACCTACTACAACATTTTCACCATTATAGTCCTCTCGTATATTACAAGTCAATATTAGTACCTACTACAACATTTTCACCATTATAGTCCTCTCGTATATTACAAGTCAATATTAGTACCTACTACAACATTTTCACCATTATAGTCCTCTCGTATATTACAAGTCAATATTAGTACCTACTACAACATTTTCACCATTATAGTCCTCTCGTATATTACAAGTCAATATTAATACCTACTACAACATTTTCACCATTATAGTCCTCTCGTATATTACAAGTCAATATTAGTACCTACTACAACATTTTCACCATTATAGTCCTCTCGTATCACTTTCTGTAGTCTTTCCTGCCTTAAAAAAAATAGAAAGAAGGCAGCTGGTTACATTAAATTTGGAAAAACAGAATTAATAAACAGCTGCGCCATGAGTGCATGAAACCCCGTCGCATTTTCTTAGAATAAAGTTCAATAACTTCTCACTGTCATATCAGAAATTTGTGAAAAACTAAAGGGAGGTTATCTTAATAGATATAAATTAAACCAGTCACCAAAGTTTAATGAAAACTGCTCAAAGCACTTTAAAGGTATTGTCGGAAAACTGAAAAATCACCCATTTTTTATGAATGTAAAATCTAAAGTTTTTAAAAATCAAAAGAGAGATTAAGTATATAGATATAAAAAATGCACCAAAGTTTCATGAGAACTGCTGAAAGCATAAATTTTTTGAGTTATTGTCCCAAAACTGGACAATCCCCCCATTTTCAATGAATAAAACCCCATAACGCAGAAACGTAAAATTTAAAATTTATAAAAATCAAAAGGGAGTTCATGTCAATAGATAAAAAGATTTCACCAAAGTTTCTTGCAAATTGGTGAAAGCATTTTTGAGTTATTGTCCGAAAACTAGAAAAAAACCTTTTTTTTAATGAATAAAACCCAACAACTCAGAAACGTATAATCTGAAATTTATAAAAAACGAAAGGGAGCTCACGTCAATAGATATAAACAATTCACCAAAGTTTTATGCAAATTGGTCGAAGCGTTTTTGAGTTGACATGTTGACGACGGACTGAGGGGCGGACAGACGGACAACGGTATACCATAATACGTCTGTAAACGGGCTTATAAAAATACAGCTTCTTGTCCATTTACTAAATTTTCTAAATATAGAGAATACTTTAATATGATAAAGAGCATTTTGTATAAAGACATGCTGCATCTAACAAAGAAACATATATCTGACAGAGAGCTTAAGGCCTGAGGGCTGATATTGATTGGTACTCATGGATTGTAACATTACAAATCTTGAGATATTCTAAACATATGATATAGGGGATACCAGGTACGTGATCTAGGGTATGTGATAATGATAATACTATATGAGGAAGGTAAGACTGTATCTAAACAGAGATCATATAGGCGATAGCAGGTACCTGATTGAGGGTGTGTGATAATGGCTATACTATGTACGGAAGGTGAGACTACAATGCCCTCTTCAATTCCTAAATGGTTAATTTTGCATTATGTTTCTGACTAATCTCCTTTAACTAATTTAATTGAAGCGTCTTCATCAGAAATCCAAAACAGCAATATTAACAGTTTGAAGAATCAATAAAAAGGATATTGATTAAGAGATTTGCTGCAATTTTCCCTACCTAAACTATAATAGAAAAACAATGGATATGGGTATCCGTCCATGACACAAAATCAGTACTTGCACAGCAAAAAAACACACAAAAAGCAAAGGAACAGTGGTTTAATTGCTGTTCTTCATCTCAAAGTATGTTGACATTGTTTAAAACAAGATCCTTAATATAAACATGGTTTCGTAAATTGTTTTGTTATAAATTAGGCCATTAGTTTTCTTGTTTGATTTGTTTCACATTTTCATGTCGGGGGCCTCTTATAGCCAACTATATGGTATGGATTTTTTCTCATGCTGTATGGTGGCCTTAAATTGCATACCGACCGGTATATCCATTTCATTTGAACTCTTGTGGATAGTTGTCTCTTTGGCAATCGTACCTATTTTTATATTGAATGTGTAGAGATTTAATGGCTTTTAGTCAGAAAAATATTAAAAGAAAATAAACTAGTATATAAATACAGAAACTTACATTTGCCAACCAAACATATTAGTATAGACCATATCTATACCGCCATCCATAAAGCCAAAACTATTTGCTGGTGATACCTGGAAATTATAAAAAGCCATTATTAGGCCACAAAAACTGACAAACAAGGCCATAAAAAAGAATACCCAACCTACCCAGAAAATAGCTGCTTACTCAAAATCTTTTATTGTCCTGATGTGAAAAAGGTTTTTTTAATCAGTTAGGCATGAAGACTAAAAAACATCTGTCACTTCAATTTCTCTTTGCCGAAAAAAAAAAAAAAATGCCTACCTACCTACCCACTGTCTCTACCTTTGGGTAGGGTTTGGGCAAACCAAAATATTTTTAAGTGTGGCCCAACAAAACATGATAGATTTAAAAATAAGTTGGTTCGGTATGATTGCTGATGAGATAACTCTCCCCCCTTATTAGGCCATATAAAATGACAGACAGCAAAATATGATAAAAGCCATTATTGGGCCACAAATATTAGCTCAGCAATGTGATGGCAAAATCACGTCCTTATTTCACATATTTCAGAGTAAAAAAGAAATTGTATACCAATAATTCAAACAATTACATTTTACTTAATTGTTATCATGATTACTGTTAATTCAGAAATTATAGGGATATTTTTATTACAGTAAATTTTTCAAAAAATTATTGGCCTGGTCTTATGCGGCAGATCGACCTATCTAAGGTTTTTTTTTAAATCAGGTCGCCACAAAAAACATGCAGCAGCATCAAATTTGCAATATTATAATAAAAACATGCATTCATAATTTCAGTAGTGATTTTCCTCTATAAAATTGTTGCAATAGCATTAATCAGATTTCACATTATTAAGACAGGTAAAAAAATTTCAGTAATAAATGCATTAATTTCTTTATTTAAATTTTTAGTATAAACAAATCAAACTAAATATTGCTTTTATTTATCTGTATAACAACCAGTTTGGTATGGCATGTAGCTTATCAAGTTAACCTGACAATTTTATCTTTGATCATCATTATTAAAAATTTGGCATTTCTCAAATTAAGGTTTTTAGGGGATGTAAATTAAGCTGTTTGAGTGTAAAGAATAAGCAAACAGTTTCAAATTTGGTAAATTTCAAAATGAAAGAGTATACATTCTTGTATTGACTGATTAAGGCTTAATGTCCATCAAATCCATTGGCAAATATTATATGACCATTCTGGACTATTGTTTCAGAAAAGGGAGAAGGTTTGGTACCATTGAAATGTTTAATCCCGCTGCAAATGTTTGCACCTGTCCTAAGTCAGGAATCTGATGTACAGTAGTTGTTGTCTGTTCATGTAGTTCATACTTGTTTCTCATTTCTCGTTTTTATATAGATTAGACCGTTGGTTTTCCTGTTTGAATGGTTTTACACTAGTAATTTTTGGGGCCCTTTATAGCTTGCTGTTCGGTGTGAGCCAATGCTCCGTGTTGAAGGCCGTACCTTGACCTATAATGGTTTACTTTTATAAATTGTTACTTGGATGGAGAGTTGTCTCATTGACACTCATACCACATCCTCCTATATCTATATAACAAGGTAGAGATATGTATATCATCTTGCAGTATTGTACAAGATCAAAATGATGAAGTCTTTTAGATGACCAAGCAAGGGATCCAACCCGAGACCTACCAATTGCCATTCATTGTGCACCTATCCAGAGCACTTCAGTTAAAACTCTGTTTTTGTTGGGGTTCATGATGCTCAATTTTTAGTTTTCTATGTTATAATAATTTTTTGTGTATATTTTGCTTGTATATAATATTGAATCATAGATAACTTGAATATGTATTAGGCTAAACAAAACTTCCATACTATTAACATTAACATAAACAAATATTACATGTGTTCTCTTCTAGTTGTTTTGTACTAAAATTTAAGAAGCCCTTGCTTCACACCATCGAGATAACTTTTTGACAGATTAAATTGGTTAGTTTCCAAGACAAAATTTCATATCATAAACTAATTCTAAAACCAGGATTAATACACCATTTTCTACTTAAGGAAATGCCTGTACCATGTCAGGAATATGACAGTTGTTTTCCATTCATTTGATGTGTTTGAGCTTTTGATTTTGCCATTTGATGTGTTTGAGCTTTTGATTTTGCCATTTGATGTGTTTGAGCTTTTGATTTTGCCATTTGATAAGGGACTTTTTGTTCTGAATTTACCTTGGAGTTTGGTATTTTTGTTATTTTATTTTTTCTAGTATATAGATTTGTATAAGATAAAACGATTTAAGATCTGTCTAAAAAAAAAATTTTGCAGTAGTTCGTCTAAAAACAAATATCATAAAAAAAAATATTTTCCTTACAGTTAAGCAATTCTATTGAATAGCTTACCAAGGAACATATAATCATCAACATCTTTTTGTTTATTTAAATCTAAATGTTTCAAACATCTCCGTCAAGCCATACAGCAAAAAAATGTACGGAGATAGATGGTTAGTTAACATGAACACTATGTATGATATGAAATGATGAATCTTATGTATTATATACTGCTTGTTTATTTGTATGTACTATTTTATTTTGCACTTATTCTATGAGGGCCTAAAGGAAGCTAAGGGAAAAAAAAATGGGTTATGCTCTTTAAATAGAGAATATCATTATTACTATCATTATTATTAAACATCCTAGGCCAATAGGACAATTAACAAATATTTTGATATGTAACAACTATTTGAATCTAACCAGTGTTAAATAGCCTCAACTGTCATTTCAAGCATTAATTAAGTTAAAAACAAAATATATATCTTACCAAAGCATCTGCTTCAGGTGCCCCTCGGAAAATATCTCCTGATGAAATCTGAAATTCATTGTAATGCATTGCAATTATGACTTTTTTGGTGGCAGGATTAAATCAATAAAATCAATGAAATTATAGAATTCTTTACAACTTTAGTATAATTTAGAAATACTACGAGGAAAGCTAAATGTTATACCAGTCTTCCTAGACAAACATTTAAGAAACAATCATTTCCAAACCAATTATACTGGTAAGAACATTTCTGCTTTTTGTATGGTTTTTCCTTAACCTAACAGGTTACCCGAAACAGGGAAAAAATAACAGACAGACAGACCCACAGACTGAAAAACATTATGCTCTCCTACTATTTAAGTTTTGCTCCCCCTATGTGCTTTCAGAGAAGATTAAAAATCAACTGCTGTGTAGCAAGTGATGGCAATATTCTGCAATTGCTAACACAGATCTTCAGTTTAAGTGAGCCAAAGCATACTAAAAATCATCTATAAGTTTCATTGAAAAATAGTCACTGGTTCATGGGAGTTTCAGATACAAATTGAACAGCAATGAATAAACAACAATATCAATTATAATCCAGCCTAGCAAGTGCTACACAAGGAGAATTGGTGGATTGGGTTGTATTATACAGAGAAAATAGTTAAAATCAGGCCGTTTGTTTTCTCGTTTGAATTGTTTTACATTTGTCATTTCTGGCCTTTTATAGCTGACTTTGTGGTATGGGTTTTACTAATGTTAAAGGCTGTATGGTGACCTATAGTTGTTAATTTCTGTGTCATTTGGTCTCTTGTGGAGAGTTGTCTCATTGGCAATCATATCACATCTTCTTATTTTTATATACATGTATGAAATGCAGTTATTGAATCTGGTCAATAGCAATTATAGCAATAATCTGGTGTTTCAATGACCATGTTCTATATCTCCAAGAGAATCTTTATAAATTTCAGAACTTTTGACCTTTCAAAATGCAAATATTATAAAAAATCTATAAAAACCTTTGGTATATTGAAGATCTTACTATGGAGGCCATATTTCCTTCAAAACTTTTAAAAAACACATGCAGATCAAACAGTGTAAATAAAATGTAATTATATGAGGTATGCAGGATATGTTTTGTCAACATATATTGCTTTTCACTACTGCAGCCTTCTTCTTATTTGATGTTGACCTTTACATGACCTTATGAACTTACCTTGACCCTGTTTTCATGATTTTTAAACAACTTTGTCCAAGCATTCACCATCTTAGGTTGAATATCTCTCAAATAATATGTCACTTCTATATCACCTGTGCTTTTCCTTACAGTTGATTGGGCTTCCAAACTTTGGTCACTGGACCCCACTTCTAAACTTTCCATTTCAGAACTTAGTTCAAAACTTGGTCCCTTTTCTAATATTTCTACTCCTTTTTCATCAAGTTTATCCTTCACAGAACTCTTTTCTTCATGACTGGTACTATCAGTCATATTTTACAGGGTACCAGAATAACTGAAAAAGATACACAATATTGTATATATGCTATTTAGTTAATTTTGTCCCATTTCTAAGAGTTGAGCAATCTATAATACTAGACTGACCTTATAAGATGGTTAATCTGTTTTATATTCATTTTAAGATAAATATAAAGCTGAATTTTTCAATAATTCTAACATAGATATAAGAAGATGTGGTATGAGTGCCAATGAGACAACTCTCCATCCAAGTCAAAATTTATAAAAGTAAACCATTATAGGTCACAGTACGGTCTTCAACACGGAGCTTTGGCTCACACCTAACAGTAAGCTATAAAGGGCCCCAAAAATTACTAGTGTTAAACCATTCAAACGAGAAAACCAACGGTCTAATCTGTATAAAAAACGAGAAACGAGAAACACTTATGAACCACATCAACAAACGACAACTACTGAACATCAGATTCCTGACTTAGGACAGGTGTATGTATAAGAAATTTATTCAGCCCACATCTATCCTTGTTTACCAATAATCAAATAGGAAACAGAGAAGAGCTTAATATAACCTGGTCCACCGTTTATTTCAATTAATGCCTTTTCCAGCTTACTATGGGGTACGGATTTTGCTCATTGTTGAAGGCCATACAATGACCTATAGTTGTTAACTTTTACACCATCTGGTTTCTGATATGGAGAGTTGTCTCATTGAAAATCATACCATTTCTTATTTTTATATTGATTAAAATCTCAACATATTTTATCTAGAGAGGTGCTATAATTTTCTAAAAGTCTAAATGAAAAAGGCCATATACATAGGAACTAGCGTATCACTCCATTTCTGATTTTTATATTAAGAAAGATCTGAAGATATTTAATTAAGAGAGGCACTTTCTTAAAGTCTACATGAAAACAGTCACTCTTACATGCTTTCATGACATCCTATAGATATATATATATATATCATGTCACATATATCATTAAAATTTTGGAGCGTCTGGATATTACCCCAAAAATTTAACTTCTTAAAAATTATTTTTTCGTTAAAAATATTGTCATACAAAAACTTCAAGCAATATATTTAATTTAGATATGAGAGGAAAATTAAGATATTTAATGATTGAAGAAATACATGTAATATTAACATGATTAACAAAAAAAAAAAAATTCTTACATTTACTATTTACATGTACTTTATTCAAAACAATTATTTTGACTATAATTTCGAACCCTTCTTAAACCGGTAAAACTTAAAACACAGACAAGTATTAACAAAAACTAAAAACATTCAAGCTTGATACAGCTCTAAATTTGGATTGTGATTAAATATTTGACAAAGCATATATAGGTTTCTGACACAAAATGAATGTGTTCAAAGAAATGAAAAAAATGAAATTGAACTTTTACCTACATGTATTATGGTCCATTATCCAAAATCTAAATACACGATTAGATTCAGCATATCCAAGTACACCAAAAATTCAATTTATTTATTTATAAATGGGCAATATTAGCTCAGTTTTTAGAGGGGTTCGCTTCATCATGAAAAAAAAAAAATATATAGCATTCTGAAAATTAATTTATACAGAATATCAAACAAACCAACTATGAAGTTCTCTTTTAGCAGCCAGTATGCATGGTATGGTTCAATTTTGTCAAAATAAGCTAAGAAACATCGATGATGAATTATTCATTTGCAAGTGAATAATTCGACCTCTTTGAATCCGTATTCATGTGACTTTCAATTTAACCCCTTAGCTAGAGATGGATTACGCATGAATTATGCGTGTTCAGTTATCAAAAGGAAAAGAATGTCAACATTGAAAGTGAAACAAAGGTAAATCATTTGATTGACTGATTCGATCCACAAAAACTCATTCTTATACAGGTAAAAACGATGAATAACATATATTTTAAACCTATAATATGAAATGAACCAGACCTAGAAAAATCCAATTGCACGAGTTCGTTAACTATTTATATCTATATTTATGTTTATATCACTTATATGACCGTCGGCATTCTTCGGAGGTCAACATGATAGTTAATTAGATGGCGTATAGACTAAAATACACACGAAACGATGATACATATTATCCAGCCCACGCCTTGTAAATTGTTTATTTTAGACTTTTTATAATTTGGATATACGTTTTAGTATGTTATAAATTAAATATGAGAATTTGAGTCAAATCCGTGAACATGATTTTGAAAGCCAATGCCCCTTTAAAAAAAATGTAAAAAAAAATGTAAAAAAAAAATTTCAAAAATTTCATTCATCATCAATACAATCATTTGACAATGACTTTTAAAAAATCTATAAACCTACCTTTAATAATTTTCTAAATTATCTAATAATGAACAGTAAATTTCAAACCATATTTATACATAGTTTTTTCTCTAAAATTAGAATTTGATGATGTATTTATTTCTAACTATGAATCTACTTACAATTTCTATTAATTGTGCACTACAGCTCTGAATTTGGAAAGTGATAAAATATTTGACATAACATAGGTTTCAGACACAGAATGAATGTGGTCTAAGAACTTAAAAAATTAAATTGGACATTTACCTTATAATATAGTCCAATATCCAAAATCTAAATACATGGTTAGATTCAGCATATCAAAGATCCCCAAGAATTCAATTTTTGATGAAATCAAACAAAGTTTCATTTTGGACCCTTTGGACCTCAATGTGGACAAATTTGATAATCCTGCCCAAAATCCTAAATCTTAATACAAGGTAAGAATTAGCAAGAACCCCATATACTCAATTTATGTTAAAAACAAACAAAGTTTAATTTTGGACCAAATTGAAAACTGGGCCAAAAAACAAAAATCTAAATACATGTTTAGATTCAGCATATCAAAGAACCCCTTCAATCATTTTTTTGTTAAAATCAAACTAAGTTCACCAATTTGATAACCAGGCCATTGATCAAAAATTTAAACATGTTAAATACAGGGTTAGATTCAGCATATCAAAGAACCCCAAGTATTAAATTTTTGTTGAAATTAAACAAAGTTTAAAACGGGCCCCAACATTAAAAATCTAAATACACAGTTAGATTCAGTGTATCAAAGAACCCAGATAATTCAATGTTTGATGAAACAAACAACAAAAGTTTAATTTTGGACTCTTAATGGACCTCAATGTGAACCAACTTAAAAATGGGGCCCAAAATCCAAAATCTGAATACATGGTTATATTCAGGCAATCAGCATATTAAGGAACCCCAAGAATCCAAGACTCTGAATAAAACCCCATTGAAATTGGTCGAGAAATAAGCAATTTATGTACATGATGTACAAAGTATAAAAAAAGTATTGTTTTTGACCACTTTTTCCTAAACGGTTAGGGCCTTAACCCCCCAAATCATACCAATCGTCCTTCTTTGGTATGAACCTTGTGGTACAATTTAATGAAGATCCACAGACTTATACTCAAGTTTTGTCGGTAAATAAGAAAATCCTAGTTTTTGGCACCTAATTCCTAAACGGTTTGGGCTATAGCCCCAAAATCAATCCCTGTCAACCTTCCTTTGGAGGTATGGAACCTTGTGGTACAATATTTCATAGAGATCTATACATTGCTATACACTTATACACAAGTTATTGTCCTGAAACAAGAAAAATGCCTTTTTTGGCCCCAGTTGGGACAATAACCCCCAAAATCAATCCCAAACTTGCTTTTGTGGTATGGAACCTTGCAGTACAATATCATATAGATCCATAAAATTATACTCGTTATTGTCTGGAAACAAAATATATTTGGGATGACGAAGATGATGATGCTAACAACGACGATAAGGTCATAACATAATACGAACCCAAATAAAAATAGCTTACTAACAATGACCACTGCCCTTTCCTCGATCTTGATATCTATATCATTAATGGAAAGCTTAATACTAAAATATATGATAAAAGAGATGATTTTTCATTTCCTATTGTTAATTATCCATTTTTAGATGGTGACGTTCCCTTGTCACCATCTTACGGTGTTTATATATCTCAACTTGTACGATTCGCTCATGTATGTAACAATGTTTTAGATTTTAACGAGAGAAATTTATGTATTACTGAAAAATTATTACACCAGGGTTTTCGATATCACAAACTGGTCAAAACATTTACTAAATTTTTTTCATCGGTATAAGGACATCATTCGTAAATATAGCTCAACATGCAGACTTCTTATACGTTCAGGTATTTCACATCCAATTTTTTATGGAAATATTCTTTGTAAAGCACAAAAATGTCAGTATTCACCTCTGAAGCTAACAAAACCTTTAAATAGACTTATTAAGAAGGGATATAGTTACGATACTGTTGTAAGGTCATTAAAGATTGCATATTTTGGCGTTAATATTGATTCACTTATAGGGTCTTTGCATCGGCACTAAACACATTTATTTAAAAACCAGTTGTTGGCATGACATGGGTTATGTTCTTCTCATATATGTTATGATGGTATGATACTAAACCCCTAACGGGAAGGATTGTGCCTGATATTCATATGATGAAGACATAATCTTTCAATCAGTTTAATTGAAGTCTGGAGCTGGCATGTCAGTTAACTGCTAGTAGTCTGTTGTTATTTATGTATTATTGTCATTTTGTTTATTTTCTTTGGTTACATCTTCTGACATCAGACTCGGTCTTCTCTTGAACTGAATTTTAATGTGCATATTGTTATGCGTTTACTTTTCTACATTGGCTAGAGGTATAGGGGGAGGGTTGAGATCTCATAAACATGTTTAACCCCGCCGCATTTTGTGCCTGTCCCAAGTCAGGAGCCTCTAGCCTTTGTTGGTCTTGTATTATTTTTAATTTTAGTTTCTTGTGTACAATTTGGAGTTTAGTATGGCGTTCATTATCACTGAACTAGTATATATATTTGTTTAGGGGCCAGCTGAAGGACGCCCAGGGGTGCGGGAATTTCTCGCTGCATTGAAGACCTGTTGGTGACCTTCTGCTGTTGTCTGTTCTATGGTCGGGTTGTTGTCTCTTTGACACATTCCCCATTTCCATTCTCAATTTTATGATTATAATTATCACACTTTTTTGCCTTTGTTTGCACGTGTCGCCAAGTAAACTAAATTTGCGACAGTAAAACTACCGATGCCCGTTTGCAAAGCTTCAAATACAATACAGTATTAACGTTATCTCTAAAGTTATATGTATATTGTGTATACATCTTATCGCTATTCCCGCTTGACCCGAGAATCTGTCCCGCTCGAACTTTTGACGTCATACAACAATCACTTTTCCATTGTGGCGTCAGACATTTTCTATTATGACGTCAAAATTTTACCGGAACTTGTGTGATGTCCAGTAATGGCGGACAAATAGCGATAAGGTGTATCAGAACTGGGAGTAATATATGTCCCAGATCTGACAGAAAGATAAACATGAAGTTAACATGATAAAACATAATTTTTTGGGATTTTGTTTTTTGAAGTTTCATCAGGACAGAACTTCTGTCAGGACAGAAGGACTAAAAGATAGACAAATTATGCAATATGACCGTCTTTGCACTTATAAACCGCTGTACCTGTTCCTAGATCCTTGATTGTCTTAATATGTACCGAGAGTACTACAATACTCGTCAATAGAAGCCAAAACAAGATTTGATAAAATTTTCAGACAGTGGAATGTTTATCTATGTCATCTAATCATCTATATTGTCTCCCCTCAATTATGGCGGGAATTTAAGGGGAGGTAAACAGAGAAAGTAGACAGACAAAGTAAAACCAGGAAAATTTGGGAAGGAATTTAAAAGTATATATATTTAACTGCTTTGTTTTATGCAAAATAGCAAATAAAAAGGTAATTCGAGTATAAAGCAGAGGTGAATAAAATCTTCATAACTTGTTAAGCTTGGAATCTTTAAATAATTAAATTTTATTTTTCATTTTTTACTTTCGGTTTTGATTAGACATTAATATCCTACCGTAGTCTATAATCGGTCATCATGTTGGTTCGTTCGGAATTTGTTATTGTACTTATCACACGGGAAAAATCCGCATTGACGTCACTACGCTAAATACCAGCGTACAAAATTAGTGCAGAATACATTTTTTCTACTCTTCTAGATAAAAAAAAAATTCTAAAGATATGTTTTCATTGTTATTCTGAAGTATTGTACAAAAATGCCAATTTTCTAATGGCTGTTTCAAACCTAACTTCCGAATGCCTAAACACAATCCAGAGCTTCAGAAAATCCCTCTTCCGGCCTCCATTGCTTTGTTTACATTCCATTAAGCGTCATCAATCTTAATGGCAGACCAAACAGGCCAAGCAAATCGTATTTTTAAGAATTTCAAAATGGCAAGCACCTTACGTCTTACGCGATTTTCCCGCGAAAAAAACCCATCCAAATTGAAAGAAAAACTTTGGGAAACAAACGATAATCATGCCATAATTTGTTCAGGAATATAGAGTAGGTTAATAAAAAACAATATACATATATTTTTCATAAAAAAAATGTTGGTTCAATATAAAGAGATCGATATTCTGACCATAAGTAAATATTCATATAAAATTCCATTGGTGTCAAATTTCATGGCTAACAATGAGGTTTCCAATTGAATAATCCCCAATTTATTGCAAACTTTTTCAAAGCAATATATCATACAAACAAATAATATAATTGCCTTGTACTAAAAAATCACCTAATTGACAGTAGAGCAATTTGATTGGATATAACGATTCAATGTGTCACGTGGTTTTGAATCCTTTAGAATTTGAATGTAAACAAACCGGGTCAGCTGCTCCAGTATGGAACAACATCGTACATTCAGTGACTGAAAATCAATTATGAGTAACCAAGCTTGACAACACACAGTAATAAAAAAATAAAGCTTAGTCTACAGAAAAATAAAATAAAAAATGTCCTTAAGTGCACGACTTACCACCATTGCGGGATACGACATCTAGAACATTATAGAATAGAATATTTTATTTTCCTAATCAAAGGGTTCCTAACAAGCATATGAATCAAGTGACAGATACAGAAAATACACAATGTATAAATGATTATTAATACACATAACAAACAATAATTGTCCAATAATAAAAGTGGGAGAGTCAGTTCATACAGTACACAAAGGAGGATAAATCCAGGTCCACATCAATTATATGGTTACAAGAGCGCAATTATTCGTAATGCATTTTCCATAGGGTACCAGTGGTGTTCCATATTTTTTTTCTGTTATAGACTACAAAACTAGGAAAAAATGGGTAGCAGTTCCTGTTACTAGAAATGTCAGTGTTGTGTACCAGGAGGGTCAGGTGGCTATGCGTCACCGTTCCCTCGTGTCGATTAAACATCGGACATAGGTTCGTTCCTCTGAGACTGAGCTCTGGCAAATGAGACCAAATACTGATGTTCAGATACTTTATTAAATATTCTACATAAATTTACATGTGAACAAATGAAACCAAAACATAAATTTAGTTAATTAAAGTAATTAGTAAATAAGTGCGGAGCTATTTCAGCTCCTCTAAGTAAATTCACAGTCAAAGAGTGTGGAGCAAATACAGCTCCACTGGTCTAATTGAGAACCAGTACAAAACATTTCTATAATAAGTCTATTCTTTTTACAAGTTCAGTTATAAGGTATAATTCCTCCATAAGAATGGCAAAGTTTTCTATAAAATATATAGTAAGTTGGAAAAAACGTCTTTAAATCATCATAATATAATTTCATTTATATTTTCACTTTGGTATTCCGTTCTTGCACAGTGATATAGTTCATTTTGAGTCATCCCATATTCTAGCAAAGGAAGATTATTTCACAGCATCTCCGTTACATTCCTCCCTTCTTAAAACTCGAAATACAGTGAAGCTTTATTTGACTTTAGCTTTCGAAATAATCTCACACTTTCTATCGTCACATTGCTTTATACACATTTATCAGCGTCTGTAGCATAATGAACTGCTTTCACTTGTATGTAGGAGACATTTGATTCCCATGACAAGTAAGCTGTGAATATTCAATTGTTAAGCAAATAAATTTGCTGAAAGTAGAAAGTAAGCATGAGAAAACTATACTTAAAAGTCAATTCAAACAAAACATAGTACACATAATGTTCATACTGCTAAATTGTTGTACAGTGAAAATATTCACACAGCTAACCTAGGTACTGGTACTATTTTTCCCGTCCTATTAACAGTATAACCAGTTAACTCTGTAAAAACTTCATCAAAATGAAAGACATATTAACATACACACTAGACAAAAGACACATCAATGTGTCAAACACAGATATACAATCACATTAGTCAATCTTGACTTGTGAATGTAAATCTCACCAGTAGCAGCTATACTAGATACCCCTACTAACATATTCGGAAGTATTAGTCTAACCTAACCACTCTGGTCACAAAAATAATTCTCAACCCTTGTGAGAAAAACAACTCATCCAGTGCAAAGTTATATGTCGCTACTATATACTTAAAAATAATAACATGTTTTGAGAATGTAAGTGTATTCCTGTGATTGCTAAACCAAGTGTCTACAAAATGTAATGTATGGAATCATTGAACTCTCAAATAAAATTCTCCTCTGTCTCTAATACTAACAGTTGTATACTGCATATTACTTCTGTATATTTATCATATATTCTATAGAACATTTTCTACAAATTTGTCTATTCATTTCCTATTTTTTTTTTCTATTTAAACCATAAGTTTATTCCATTTAACAATACTGAAATATGTGAACATCAAGTTTCATACATAAAATCAACAACAACATATATACAATGGTACCATAAAATTCATATTCTGAGTTAAGTAAAAATGAAAGTATCATATCTGGATCTCACTACAAAGTTTCAACTCAAGTCAGATAACACATTGGCCTCCATAAAATGTAACAGGAGGGTCGGGTGGCTATGCGTCACCGTTCCCTCGTGTCGATTAAACATCGGACATAGGTTCGTTCCACTGTGACTGAGCTCTGGTAAATGAGACCAAATACTGATCATGCTGATGTTCAGATACTTTATTAAATATTCCACATAAATTTACATGTGAACAATGAAACCAAAACATAAATTTAGTTAATTAAAGTAATTAGTAAATAAGTGCGGAGCTATTTCAGCTCCTCTAAGTAAATTCACAGTCAAAGAGTGTGGAGCAAATACAGCTTCACTGGTCTAATTGAGAACCAGTACAAAATATTTCTATAATAAGTCTATTCTTTTTACAAGTTCAGTTATAAGGTATAATTCCTCCATAAGAATGGCAAAGTTTTCTATAAAATATATAGTAAGTTGGAAAAAACGTCTTTAAATCATCATAATATAATTTCATTTATATTTTCACTTTGTTATTCCGTTCTTGCACAGTGATATAGTTCATTTTGAGTCATCCCATATTCTAGCAAAGGGAGATTATTTCACAGCATCTCCGTTACAGTTGCATAACAATCAAAAAAATATATATTGTCATTCGGCAAAAAATAACTTAACATGCAGTTGAAAAACATCGTTTATTTTTTTCGCTTAATGAAAAAGGCAGATTTTTAATGGCTCCCATGTGCAGATATTGAAAATATTTTCTATACTTTGTAAATGTGAATCTGATTTTCTGGATTTTTTTAAACCTAATTAGATAAGCTTTCGATTAAAAGAAATTCCAATCCTGTATCATCCAATCAGAAGCCGTACAAGATTCTTTTCTGAGTACCATTTTGGGGTAAAAAAACTTGCCGGTAAAATGTAAACAAATAATTGCGCTCTTGTTACCATATATAAATAGTGTGTAAGTACTAACACACATACATATATAAATATATTTTATTTTATTTTATTTTGTCAACAGTGGCGGATCGATTTTGGTGGGGGGGGGGAGGGTTCTGGGGGTTGGAACCCCTCTTTTTTGATGGTCAATGCTTTTGAATGGGGACATATGGTTGGACCCTCCCCCCTTTATCCTGGGTTGGACCCTCCCCCCTTTATCCTGGGTTGGAACCCCCATCTTATTAAAATGGCTGGACGCCCCTGGTCAAGATAGAAAATTTAATATTTGTTCACAGATCGTCCCAAAACTAATAAACATATCACCCATTAAAGAAAATTTAAACAGAGAATTATATATACAATTATCTTTAAACCAATGGCAAACCTGTCAACTGGCCTGTATCCTGCGGGTGACACTTTAAAATTTCACCCCTCACCCAGGATTTTTTAAATACCCACCAGGTCATTAAATAACCTAGGAATTAGAAAAATGACCCGTTCTTAAGCCTTTAGACTGATTTCATAATTGATTTTCCTTTGAAAACAGGCAAATTCGTAATTCTTTCTGGACAGGAAGTTCAACTAGCTGTGTTAACTGTCAAATTAATTGACCTGTTAATTAACACCAAATACCTAGGCTTAAGGTCAAAAATAATTTGTGTATTTAAAAGTTGTTTGACAAAAAGTTATTCCCCCTTTTTTGCCACCTTTCACAATATACTCCTTAAATTAATGTTTTATTTTGGTAAAAAAAATAAATCTAAGGCAAATTGAATACAAATAAATATCAGAATATTACTTTTAATATTTTGAAAATTAATATTTCATCTATGCTTCTTTTAATATTCTCGTATATTTGATTTATATCAAATTAAAACGTATCCAAATTACAAAAAGTTTAAAATAAACAATTAACAATGCAGGGATTCGATAATGCGTATCAACATTTCATGTGTATTTTAGTCTAGACGCCATCTAATTAACCTTTGAGGTGACCTCCGAAGACTGCAGATGGTCATATAACCCAATATAAACATAAATTTAGATATAAATAGAAAGTGAACATGATGAATTGGATA